CGTTGAAAACCACAAACCCCCAAACTGAATTATTCTAATGCTTACTGGTGACTACCTTTGGGAAATGATTCCTGAAGTTCCAATGAGTTGTTACCGATGGAGTAAACCTGGTGGACATGAGGACAAATAAACAACGATGACAACGGGCGATGGTCACGCTACGTGTCGTTGGGTTCCGACCCAGTGGCTCAATGGTAACGTGCTGGCCACAGAACCTTGAGGTCCTGGACTCCGTCCCCAGCGGGATCATGGGTGTGCAATGCTGAGGAGTCCCATACTAGGACGAAACAGCTCCCCTGTGGACCAAGATTTCTAATCATCTTCCAATCAATGTCAGTTCATGATGAATATCAACTTTCACTTCTTTTCATGTTAAAAATGGTTGACTGTGTCTGTCAAAAGTAGTTCATATAACAGTCGGTTTATTTTAATTTAACAAGGAAACCAAACTTATGAAGTAATTTATACTTGATAGAATAATGTTTTACCTTATTAATGTAAAGCGTTCAGGAATTGTGAGCAAAGTTAATGATAACATTTCACTGAAACCTGAATAACTATGAAGCGTGTCATGGATGATACACGCTTCAAATTTCTAAAAACTATATATGTCTCAGCCTAGAAAACTAAAATGATTCACATTTTTATGAGTTTCAATGAAAGATGACCGTTTCTGTCACGATTCCTTTTTCTCTTTATGGCCCAAACACAAAATACAAGTTACACCTGATACTTTATTAAGAAATCCTTTTTCAGCAATAATTCAACTACCAATTTTCTAGCATTCAACCATGTTTAGATATGAACCGAAGGAGAGATTACGGTTTCCGATAAATTCGATTTAAAATTACATTTTGCAATGTAAACCACACTGTTTTACAGTCGGTTCACAAATAAGACTGAAGTTTAAACATTGAAAACAACATCACATATTGATAAATCGGCTTAAACGTGACTAGATTTGAAAAAGTCAGTAATCATTTTTACCTCCAGTTTTCAATTTAATAAATAACTATTAATTTAAACAAATGATTGGAATGTCAATAATCAAATGTTCATTATTCCTTCATGTAAATAGATATAAATTTAGTGTCAACATTTAGATGAATAACTGGTTTTTAAACCTTATTCTTACTGTTTGATAATCGTATTATTAGGATGCAATTTCAAAAGTAGTGTTAACTAGAAAACAATAGGAATTGAATCCAATAAAAAACTAAAAAAGCCATCAGGACGCTTCATCTCACTTAGAAATCTGACTCAAAATCTTCACATAAACGAGATTTGACATGCAAGTTTATCATCATTGAAGAATATTTCCACGATTAACGCTTAATACACCGATAAGTGGAAGCTAAATGTCTGAAATCTGAAACAGACTTTTTATATGTTTTAAGTAATACACAGCTTCTAATGACTTTTTAACCTTATGTGAAAATGCCATTTCACACTTCAAGTCTTTGTCAAAGCAGGTGAAGACTTATAATGGAGTAAACTTATGACTGAATAATAAGTTCATCACAAAACATTGATCCAATGAGCTTAGTTAAATCATCAAGTATGAAATAGTTCTATGAACCTTTTTAATATAGGAACAATAGTTGATGCGGAGTAATGCGTTAACTCATTTTGAAAGCGTAAGTGATAACTGAGTAAACCCAAAAACTCAACTATTTGAAGTTCCAACAACTACTAAGAAGAGTTGAAACTCAGATTGATGTACTCCAAAGCACTTTTCCGTAAACCTAATTGACATGGCATCTTGGTGACTGACTTGCAAAATTCAACCCTGAAAAACAGTGGACAGTGTTACTGGTGCCTAACACCAAGGACTTCATAGTCTAATTGACTGTCAGCAGGTAAGTAGTTTGTGAACAGTCTTATATTCTTGGCTTCATTTCCACATATTTTTTACTGTACAGATCCTCTATTAGCCTATAATAAAGCCGGATAAAATGAAGACGTCTCTCATCTTCCCTCCACTAAAGCCACAGGATATGACCGTTGAATTATTTGACATTAGAACGCTAATGTTGAATATATGAAGGTGAATCATACCGAAACTAACTATTATATCTAAGCATTTACACTTTTTTGCCTGATGTAAGATACTATTCTTAAATCATGCAATACCGTATATCAAACTAAATCATCAACCCCTTTTATACAAAGTTTTATTATTATTATTTGTCCCTTGGGTTCCTAATAGAACATACGGCTTCACTAGCACGTCACCATTCCACTCTCTTCTCCGAAGTCTTTTCAACCTGGATCCACGACAGCCAACAAACTCTCATCTCCTCCTCGCACAACCTCCTCCATATCACCCTCGCCCATGACGCCCAACTCCTCACTTCCCATCTGCGTTCCACTCGAGTACATGGCCTGGCCTGATATGTGATGTCCCCAGTCGAACTTCTCAGTGTATGCCTATCTCAATCCATCTCCACTTCCTTCTACATATCTGTTGAGTGATAGGTTCTTGTTTCATTGGTTCGTTGCCAGTGAGCCAGAATTCCATTCCTTGTTGCTTATTCTAATTATTCTGGCTATCTGATCTTCAGGGTCAGTAACGAGCCAGTGTAGGCGGCAGTTGTTGATGAATGTCTGTAGTTTGTTGGAAATGCCTTTCGTAACGCGCCAAGTCTATCAACCATCACATAGAAGCACTGAGTTGACTGGTGTTGGTGTTGGAAATCCAGATTCTGTTCACGCTTTATGCTGAGTGCAGAAGATCTCCAATATGGTTTCAGGCTAACGAAAGCCTGTCTTGCTGTGTTTCCCATCCTGGCTTTGACTTCCTTGTCGGTGCCGCCTGTGGTTGAAACAGTGCTTCCTAGATAGGTGAAGGAGGCTACTTCCTTTAAGTTTCTCCCGTTCGCGATGATTGGAGCTTGTTGTTGTTTTTGGCGGTGTTGGTTGGGTACCTTCATCACCTCTCTCTTCTCTATATTCACTTGAGGTCCCGTCTTCGCTGCCCTGCCCTGCCTCTTCTGCCGACTTGTTAGTTTTCGCCCGTAGATCTTCAATTTTGTGCCACAAGACACTAGACACAAGTCATTGGAGAGATTCAAGTCTTCTAGGTCCTTTTCCGCCGTCCAGCGTATCCTTGCACAAAGTTTAGAATATGCTAAATTACCCCAGGTTAATGCGCTGTTTTTTTGGACATTATGTGTTTGTTCCTAACATTTTGTAACCTCCGACAATCTATTTTACTTTATAGCAACTCAATGTCTCAGTGGAATATGTTCCACTCTGTGGAGCTACAAATGTTTCGTCTCAGTGTTTTATCGTTTAAAAGGCTTCAAATGTATTCAGTTTAAAACTTACAAAATAAGAAAAAGAGTATGTCAAAGATTCCATTATTAACCAGAGCCAAACAAATAGCATGATGTGCATTCATAATGACTAAGAAGTGAAGAATTCAAAACCATTACTAGTCGACATACTAGTAACTAGTACAAATGAAACATTGTCTATGAAATAGTTTTTGGAAGTTTTTGGTTACCTTATATTTTTGTGATACCATATAAAATCCTGTTTCAAGTTAGACGCATAGTTATTGGTCACCGTATATATTTTTTCGATTACATAGTAATCCGAAGAATTATTCGCGATCCATTTTGTTAGCATCCTGACATTCACATCTTATTGATACTTGTAACTTTGTTAGTCAGTCATTCTTACAACTCTCAGTTCACTAATATCTTCGTAAAGCAATGTATTTATGAGTGGTTTTTTCCTAAACTTAATAATAGTAAATATAACACTAAGGCTTCATGAATTTATCCGTATGCACTTAAAGTCAAGGTGAATTATAGCAGATAGTTGTAACTGCATACCCAAGTAACTCATGCGTTCAACTCTAGAGAGTTCTAAATACGAAATCCATTCTCAGCACTCACTGACCCTTTTTGGCAATAATAAGAAACCCAACCAGCTCAGAGAACATAATACAACTAAGTTGTTTATGCGTTCACAACCTCATCTACCCAACTTTTACCTTCCTGATGTACACTCAAAGGCGTTTCCATCAACTAAAAGTAAAACATTAGTTAGAATATTGCTAGTAATTATGTTTAAAAGATTTGTTACGCTATTTATGAAAGTGCAGTCTTGGCAAAAACTAGTTCATTATAGTGGTTAGATACATTGCTATGAGGAGACCTACAGGTTAGCATTTTTACTAAACTTACCAAATTAGTATTCACAGTAGACTGACATCAATTGGAGGAACAATGGAAACCTGGGAGCACTGAAAAGATGTTTCCTCCTAGTATGGGACTCGTCAACAGTGCACACCTACGACCCCGCCAGCTATCGAATCCGCGATCTCCAGGTCCTGTGGTTCCGTAAACAAATTAGTGATCTGAGGAAGTTTTGGCGCAGGTAAGCAAAGTTTCTTTGGATACTCATGTCAAACATAACTGGTTTTCAAGTTGTTATTCATCGAAGACTGACATCAGTTGGAGGAACAAAGGAAACCTGGGAGCACTGGACAGCTGTTTCGTCCTAGTATGGGACTCCTCAGCAGTGCGCACTGCTGAGGAGTCCCATACTAGGACGAAACAGCTGTCCAGTGCTCCCAGGTTTCCTTTGTTCCTCCAACTGATGTCAGTCTTCGATGAATAACAACTTGAAATATTTCCAAAATCTCCACAACCCCTCAAAATATAACTGGTTTTCGTTTTACAAGGTTATCAGATGGACTATATTGCAGACTTCTGAAAGGATAAAGTCCTTCTCAGTTCTATTTTATCTCACTTCATGAACTCACGCATAGAATGTGTTCAGCATATCTTACTATTACATGTGCTCTATATAATTCGTAACTGATTAATGTGATTCATATGGTACTGAGATTTGTTATGTCAAGACACATTACCTTTAAGCTAGTAACTAACTCATGGGAACCTTTTACCCTATACCTATATCGTATATGTATATTGTATTATATTATGAATAAAACATAAACAGACTGATAGTACAGAAACATATTGTACTGATTTAGGAAAGTTATATATTTAATTTGTTTTAATGGAATGAACAACAGAAAGTCACTCTACACAAATTCATACACTTCTATCGTGATTTCAATTGTTCTGTAGTCTTCTGTTTTTAACAGGAACCACTATTTTGAAATTTAGGTTAACCACGTAAAAATAAGTAATCTCGTTTGTTCTGATTTGATAGAGCGGCTAAAAAGTAGAAATAGAAATATGCTTTGATATACTACTTAAAACAAATGAACAGTAATCAGGTTGAGAAATCATTCAAAGTTGCTTTGAAATTAAATACATCAGAATAATTTAAAAAATTAAGCAATGAAGTCATAACTGGAATTTTATATTTTGAAGTCGTTGTGTAGTTTTCTTCAACGTTCAATGTTCAACTTTCATTGTTGTAAGTTTATCTTGATCTACCTTCCACCATCCTACAAATTACATACCACCACAAACTTTTATCCAACAAAACCTTTTCTCTGAATGATTTTATGCTAAGGCTGTGAATGTTTGCAACACTTTCAACCTAAGTAAACTGTCACTGATCTTTGCTTTCATCTTACTAATTCTAGAACAAGCTAGGGGATGATTACGGAGAAGAATCTTTGACTTCAAAGTTGATTCAGTGAACTAGGAAAAAGGCCATTTACATGGGTACAAGTGAAATTAGTATTCGGAAATATCCTAGCATTACTGTCAAACTGACAGTATGTTATTCAACCAACTTCCTGAGCGTACAATTAAGAAAAGATATGATGGTCCCTTGAGGAGATCGACTTGCAGAAAAAAGCCTGAAATAGTCAGAATACTCATTTTCAAAGCTGGGTTCCACTAGTCAGGAAACGAAGTCTACTTCATTCACTATGCACACCAGTTAGGAGGATTTGTAAAACTGACGTAGTGAATGAGGAGATGAAAGTACTCCGTAGCGCGTCAATCGAGAGTGACTATTCCTCGAGACTTATTGAGGGAATGTGAGGCCAAATAATTTCAGAGAAGCTCCTGCGGTTCCCAAAAAGACAGTTTGTAAATATTGGATTCAAGGTAGATACGCTGGCGGAAATACTGAAGAAGCGACGTATAAAGCACTAAAGAAGATCTTCTTTTACGCTCAGCTGTGGAGCTTTTTCTGCGGCCAACGACTAACTCAAGGGTCTGGGAAGGATAAACTACTGCTTTTGGCCACCTCCAAGTGTGTTTATCGATTCATCCGCTCTTGTGCAGCTGGTTGCAAAGGCCGCACAAAGCGTGTTTTATCCAATATTCTGCGTGACTGTCCAAAGGACAGTGTGAAGTCGTCAACAGCTCGATTCTTAGGCATTTGTTTATATCTGGTCACCGTACCCAATGATAGTCTTCTTTCAAAGTCACTTATAAAGTGAAGGCAAACATTTTGAAGGAAGTGTATATTCCCCACCTGAGCACAGTAGAAGCTCTGGCAGCCGAGCACCACAATCCTACTCTTTGTGTTTAAAAAAGATACATTTAACCCCTAATTTTGTCCATGTCTCATTAAGACAGATTATTCATTTCTTTGCTTATTTACGATAATACTTTAAGCGATTTTTGATGACCCTAACTTGACCGTTTTGCTGTTATCACCTCATGACCTTATTCCCCATTTTTGGTGACCTTGTGTTGACTCATCCGCCAATGATGTATAGATATATGTTTTGCTGTAACTAAGCTTACAATATACAACTTTTGAAACTGATTCGTTGAGAAGAAATATTTTTCTGCCGAATTCTCTTTTATTATTCAACCCACTCGCTGGGTTACATGTTTTGTCAAGAACACAAACTTTCTACGTATATTTTGTACAGTTTTGAGCATGCTTCATAATTTGGCACGTTAATATTTGTACTAGCTAACAGAAAAAATGTATTCAAACTATAAGTACTAGATTTTTCTTCTGACTGTGATTCCTAGAGTCATCCTACCAGCAGAAGGTTGCACTTAATCGTTAGATCAATAACCTCTAGTGATGATTACCATGGAAAGAGTGAACCGTGTTTAATAATATATTGTAGACAAATAATTGTTTAGACTTTTTAAAAGGATCAGCGAATTGTCAGCCATCAGGTGTTTGGATATATTTGTCATGTTGCACAAAATTTTCAGTAGGAGACCTCCAACTTATGTGGCTGTTAAATAAACAGTTGCTAACATGAGTATGCTAATACGTTTGCGCATATCATTCGCATGAACTTAGAACTGATAGTCAGTAATAAGGAGATGCCTTAGTCAATGCAGCTGACGGTAAAGCGGTCAAAAATGGGTGACAATTTTTCGGTTAAGCAGTATATATTTTCTAGTCAAAATCTAACATTACTAGGTGGATTTGTATCTAAACTTTTTGAGAGCTACCAATTCAAATACTTAACAGAACTTCATATTTATTTATCAAAATTTGTTAACTGACACATTTCCTCCCAAAGAAAGACAAACGTTGATACTTTATGGCTGACAATCACATCTTAGAGCTTATGACCATAGGTTAACTTCAGACTCGAACAATGCAAGAACAAAGAAAGAATAAGATGAGCTCAATTCATTTCATGGCCTTTCATCGGATGCAAACAGTCTACAATTGAAATGAAGCATTAATAATAATGATGATGTTGCATACTTCAAATGTGTAGAAATAAATGGCGACAAAAGAATCCAGGATGAACAAAAGGATAATGAGGTAATATTAGTCAAGGACTGACATCAGTTGGGGGACCAGTGAAAACCTGGGAGCACTGGACAAATGTTTCTTTCTAGTATGGGGCTCCACAGCAGTACACGCCCGCGACCTGACTAGGCATCGAAGTCGAAACTTTAAAGTTTCATGGCGAACGCGCTGACCATTCATCCACTGGGTCGGTTTTCAAAGGTTCACAGTTTCCAACTTCTGTCGATTCACGATATAGAAAGACTGTCACCCAAGGACTTCAGATGGCATCCGCTTCTTTTCCTACTGGTTGACCCCACGGATAGAGGTCTGTCATTAGAACTTCATGAAATCCATCTGGTAGCATGTCACTAATGAGCACTATACAGCAGACCTATACTAGGACGAAATAGCTGTCCAATACACCCAGGTTTTCAATGGTTCCCCAACTGATACCAGTCCGTGATGAATACTACCTTTAAATTAAAATCCCTATTCATTTGAAAAATATAACAAAGTAATGAATGAAGGAAACATGGGATTAATAATTTCAAATTTTAGTTTCACCAATATCTGAAGAGATAGAAAATCCTGAATCTAAGAAGTGGGGGGGGGGGAAAGCAAGCAAACGTCGGTGTAAAAGAAGTGGTTTTTAAAGAGCCAACAGATTACGTAATTGCACTGCATCAGATATAAATAGCCACTAAGTTTCAAATCTCTACTTATTTCTAAGCGTTTAAAGTGTGTTAAATCACTACTGCTAATAATATTTCATCACAATTGTAGACTGTTTGCAGCTGATGAAAGGCTGTGAAATACGATGAGCTCATTTTACTCTTCAAATACCTTTGTTCAGATTTGCCAAAAAAGAAAACAACTAGATTTACGATGTATCTTCAAACTCTTTTTAAAAATGAGTGTTTATCTGTAAACTTGAACTGAACATGCTACATCTACTTCTTTTTCCTAAGATGTTATGCAGTATCTTTTCTTAATCATTAAATTTCGCGAAGGACAACAAAGAGATATAAGTTACCTCTTGACTCTTGACTTATATATGTTTACTGTTTTACTTTCAAATATATATTCCAAGATATATTGAAAGATTGTTTTTACTAGTTGATCATTTACTCACCTAGCTTTCGGCTATCCAGTAGTTCTTCATTATCTTCAGATGCATACTAAAAAAGAGAAAAAATTGTTCTTTTTTACTGAGAAAATGTTGTATAAGAAAATATGCATTAAAGAAAACAAATGTTCCATCCTACTTAAATAGCACAAAAAGTTAACCATTAAGTCAAAATGCTTGAATAATAACCAGTTTTGGTTCCTAACAAGAATGAAAACGTAGAAGTGAACATTTCTTCATAGCCACAAGGATTCAACAGCAATTTAAAAGTTGGAAGGTTGGTCTCTTATGTTACGCATCTTTTCAGCTTAACAAGATTCGATGTTTTACATTAAGCCTTTATTGCTATTCCTTATGCTTTTGTAAGTGTTTCCTACAGAAAAAAGTGAGGAACAAAAATCATACTGCAATTAGCTTTGGAGGTGGTTCTTATGAAAAAAAAATCAGGCTGACGTAATGTAAAAAAACGTAGGTACCGTGGTACAGTATAATTATATACTAGACTATTTATTTCCAACCAAGAACCTATCACCCAACAAATATGCAGGAAGAAGTGGAGATGGATTGGCCATGCACTGAGAAGGCCGACTGAGGACATCACGCGCCAGGCCCTCGAGTGGAACCCAGATGGGAAGCGACGAGTTGGACGTCCAACGGTGACATGGAGGAGGTCGTGCGAGGAGGAAATGAGAGCTTCTGGGCTGCCGTGGGACCAGGTCCAAAAGATCTCAGAGAACAGAGGTCACTGGAGGCGTGCTACTGAAGCCCTATGTTCCACTAGGAACCTATTTATTTAACATAGTACGAAGTGACGGAGTACTTGGTGACGTATCAACCAGAATTTATTGCTCATAGCCATATCAAAGCAATCAGATAACTTTCAAACTTCCATTATATATTCTAACAGTTCATTCGTTTATTTTAATGGTAGTAAACATTTTCCACATAACTCCAACATGTAATCAGTCATTCCTGTTACATGTATTAGGTACGGATTCAATGATTCAATTGATCTCTCTTTCGACCTAGTTATATTGGATTTTAGAAGCGTCACCTTATTGCGCCGTGTAGTGTCGTCATGGATCAGTGCATGCAGAATAATAGCTGAGTTTTTCTCTAAATTACTTAACTTAATAGGATCCAACATTTTGCATTCTGCTATTCTAACTTATCCAGATTGACTGCTTTGTCTTATACATACTTGACCTCATAATCATTGCATGTTATCTGATAGATTAGGTTATCTATCCTGATTGACTCTACTGGATCTTTTGGCCTACGAGGTTTCCGAGCAAGTATGTATGTTTTAATATCACCAAAATCTCAAGATTGTTAAGATTTCTAAGTAAGATTTCTGATATGCCTTCTTTATTAGACAACACTACGGAGCATTTGAATTCCCTATTAGGCACGCTGAAATCAACAGTGACATAACCACTCCTTCTCTAATCAGCCCCTGCAAACCATTTAATATGACATGAATATAAACAGAGAATTCTGCTCTAAACGTCATTCAGTAAGCTATACTTTATCACTGCAGGTTGTATCAACCAAATAAACAAACTAATATGCGATCATACTAAGAGAGGTTATCAAACAAAATCGAGCTACTCCAGAGGTGCTGATCTTTTGTTTTGTGGAACAACATACATTACATGGATTAATGTGACGTTTTCTAAGAACATGCATTTACTTATGTATTACATTGCTCTCAATATAAAAGCACTTTTTAGCAAGAGTTCCTACTCAGTACCTCAATAGACGATCAGTAAAGTTTTACAAACATTGATTAACAGTAATCATTAAGAAAATTGAAACGGAAAACACCCAAAGTTTGATCAACAACGTTTTCAGTGACATCAAATACACTGTGGAGAAAGAGTCAAACAACCAACTACCATTTCTGAATGTTTTAGTCAGTAGGACAAATGCCAGAAAGCTGGAAACCCAAGTCTACAGGAAGCCAGCACACACTGACCGAGTTTTCAACTACAGTGGCAACAACCCAACAGTACACGAAATCAGTTGCTTGCAGATTCTATTAAGAAGAACACACTGCAGTACAAAACTTCACGAGAAACGAAGAAAATTACTTGATATCCACCCTAAAGAAGAACAGCTACTCACGAAATTTTATCAGAAGATGCTTATCCTATGCATCATCAACCACAAAGTCATCAATAGAAATCAATAAACGCATCGTCCTACCATACATAAAGAATGTATCAGAAATCACGACAAGATTACTGAAACCACTTGGAAGTGGGGTGGCTCATAAACCAACATATTCCCTCCAAACACTATTATGCAGACCGAAGGATGCAACAAACAAAGAAGACAAACCGAATATCATTTACAAAATCAACTGCAATAACTTTAGTCAACACTATATTAGACATAGTGGCCGCCCTCTTCGCCTTCGTCTACATGAGCACCGATCGGCTATTAAACACCACGACATTTCATCACTCATTTCAATGCACGTGGATAACAACGATGGACATGAATTTAATTTCGACAATGTAGAAATTTTGAATGGAGAGAGGAACACAAAGAAGAATATCAGAGAATTCCTAGAAGCTTGGCATTCATGTCAGTCAGTTAGTCAGTCAGCAATCAACAGATGTATAGAAACGAATCAATCTATCAACGGATAAGAAAGATGGTAAACGACAGAGAGGCGAGAGGTCAAGCAGAGGAACAGCCAACAGGAAAGTCTATACAATCAATGACACCACAATCAAATGAAACAACCAATCATGAACCATTTCGTCAGGGCAAGCCACTAAATCATTCACTCAGGGAGACATATTGACAGCTCACTTCGTACTGAAGTTAGTGTTGATGATGTCGTCTAATAAGACGATGAAAGCTCCACGATTAAACGACCCGACTCGGAGAACACAATACAACCAATGTTTATTAACGATTTTTAATATCCAAGCTGCTGATAGAACCCTTTATCAAAGATTTCTCGCATACAAATAATCAGCAGTTTTCGAGGTTGCGAAGGTAATAGAGCGTATCAGCTAACATGCCCATTAATTTCGAAGTATTTCGATATATACTTCACAAAATTACTCTGTCTAAACATCCTTGGAAAATATATCAGTTACTGCAAATTTAATGAACAACTACCTTAAGAACTCGATAATGTCTTTAAACATTGCTTTTGAAATACATGCGGCAATCCCATTTCTATAAATGTTCCATACGTAAACTAAGTATTATATAAAGGAAGACAGTGGTACATTTATTCTCACATTTTTAGAAGTTTCCACGGAACATTGATTTCTTAATTCAATCTCGATCATCGTAATAGGGACTAATCTTTTCTGGTGTAGTGAAATGGTAGTTTTTGTCTCGAATATTAATCTCCAAAAGGCCATTACAAGTAGTCATAGAAAAATTCACAACTAGCATCAAAGTAATTCTGGAAAATTTTCTTAGAATTCAGTTGTTTTTGGTATAACTTTCAGGTATATCTATTATACTGGTTAACCAACCTAAAGTGTTTAAAAACCGGTGCTGTAATTACAACATTTGAACATTAATTTTGCTGATAAATTAGTTTGACATTAGTTTCAATGTTCTTATCTCCTGAAACTTAAAAATGAATTTACTATCAGTTCTGATAAGAAGACTTAGAATACCATTTTGGTTAACTATTAGGCAGGTTTCTTAAAAAGTAATCATAAAGTCTTCCTTCATTTTTACACGATGATCTAAAAACCTAGGACAATCTTAAGAGTTATGACTCAACTTATTACCTACTAGAGTGAGTTTATAACTACAATACTCAAAGTGAAATTTAATGAAAATATTCCTTTTAGCTAAGGCCAATCTTTTGGCTACCAAGATTCACTATCATGATCCACTTTGATTTAAGACGAATGAATTTGTACACCATTTATACTTGATAAAGTAAATTTTCAAAAGCGTTTATTGTCTTAAATGATCAAAACTCACTTGCTGGCGAAGAAGGTGGTTAAAGTAGCGAATTAATTCATTGAGTCGTTCAGCGCCTTTATTTCTATTACGCATATTCAGTGACCATGAATCTTCTGAGTTTGCTGTTTCATCTATCAGAGGGAAATTTCTTGAATTCCGCATTGCATCAAGTGGGTGAACTGTTACACACAAACAAAACAAACTCAGGCAGACAAATATCCGAAGTAAATTATGAAGAATTCCATTGGCTTTGCCAAACTGATCCAACCAAAGGAGGGCCATTAGAATTTTGTATCTGAAATGATGCAAATGAATGTGAAGAATATTATCTTCTTGCATGAACTATTATATACTATTCTCACTAAAATGTAACAAATATATTTTATTGGTAGATAGAGACCCTATGTTATTTTTTGTTTAAATTCGGTTTATCGAAAAGACTGACGGCAGAGTTCAACCTAATTTCAAGCCATTCAGTTAACAAATATTATCTTTAGCAGTAATCACAAGTCAGTTATCGATGAAAAAGTAAGTGCTATAAAAAACTTTTCGACAATAAACAACAGTTGCTAGCCAAGTTACTTACTGTTCCTCGATTAAAGTCAGTTCAGGAAGTGGTTTTATAGACTTGGTTGACTTGATGACTGATTAATGAATGCAAATTAGAAGATCTATCATATAAGAAATCAGGAAAATTCCTATAGAAGTATTAAGTAACCTGATAAAAACCACCTTGTGATATTATTCGCCATCATGTATAAGAAATTCTAACAATGCTAGCAAGGAGGATGCCTCATATCTGTCTGCCAATTTTAAGTCGATCCCACTGTTCTTTGCATCCAGCAAATAATCTCTATGTATTAGATGTTTCACCATACAATACTGAAACGATAATTTGTCTATGAACAATCAAAATTTCAAGGTATTTGTTTCCACATCGAATTACCAACTAGGAAACTTTTTTACTAGCTCATCTTATCAATCGAATGGTCATGTCTGCTTCATGCATGAGGCATTGTTTTATCTCTCTTGTCTTGGATATTCAATGACATTCAACTGACACGTCTCAAGCTTATCAGCGATGGAGTATACATACTGGTGCATCATCTTCCTGACCTACACACGTGTTTTTTCCCCCAGTTTACTTTCTTTTTCGTTTCAATAAAACTTTATTTCTATGATGCTGTGAAATTTAAATATTTCTGTGAAGATTGCAGTGGTAATTGATTTGCTTGCTGAGGAACGAAGACACACTTTAGTACATTAACCTAACAGAGAAGAGAAGAAAACCATTAGTTGCCCATCTTTAGGCAGAACGATGATCTTTGTAGTTTCACGAAAAGATATCTATCAAATTTGATGGCAATCAAAATCTTAACCCTGGAAACTAACAAACAGATTGTTTTGCTGTCAATAAAGAATTTCCAAGATATTACAGTTACCTTATTGAAAGCTTTGCGACTACTGCAACTAAGAAACTAATGAGATCTTTCCGCTCTATAGCATGCAGACCTAAAGATATGATCGCGAATGACAACAATTCTAAAGACAACGAAAAGACTATATTCAAAACAACTAGTCAGAGACAATGTTGTCCAAATTAACTGCCTAACTACTTCTAGTGAAACTGCTATAGCTAACTTCCTATTAATGTTTGCTCTACTGATGATTTCTTGATTGACAATGACAGCTTCACTACTGAGTAACACGGTTCCATAAACACAGCACTAAAAGGTTCACAGAACGACTATCCAGGTAGAAGTCAAGTTTTCAATGGTAGTCAAAAGTTGTCCATCGAAGCTTGCTTTATAAGCTTTGAAATATCAGATTAACTCAATAGCTAGATGTTTCCAAGTTGTAAAACGATCTAAAATTGGTAATATTAATGTCATGTCTGATTTAAAGTCCTATGATAATTCGTTAACTAAAAAACAGTCTCAAAGTTCATCATCGACAAGTAACTTGAGTCATATGTTTTATTTTTTGGCATGTTTTTGAATGTTAGAGTAATGGACACCTAAAAATGTTTATTGACAAAAAAATGTATATGAGATAAAAATGGAACTAATTTCCTAAAAGAAGTTACAAGCTAAAAGAAATGAAGTGAATGTTTATGACATTTTGAAATAAGGTCGACGCTTTTTGGAAACATGCTTTATGTGGACTATCGGAGAAGTAATAGGCTACTCATCACTTCTGCTTTAGGAAGTTTGTATACAAGAACTTCCTGTTTATGAAATCTTAAAGGAAATTGCTTTGGACACCTTCAGGGTGAATCATCGTCAGAAATCTAACGTTTTCATGATTTTAGTTGCTTTTTTAATATAATATACTGACATACGTGGCTACTATGTAAACAACGTTATATCAGAAGAAATCTTAGAAAAGCTGGTAGAGCACAAGGCCGGTGGTCGTTGGTTCAAACCCTCCCACAGTCTAGATTTTCATTTCACCGAGTATCAACATTTGTTTACCACATCATGACTATCTTGGATAGAAAAAATGATAGTTTTGACAGTTGTACTACCTTTCCTTCTTTGATTTTATTGGTAAAATTTAGATCCGAACGTTGCGTAACTGCCTTGAGTAATAAATTATTCTCAAAACGTCATCCGGTAGATTATTATTGTTAGTCCCTTGGGTTCCTAGTGGAACATAGGGCTTCACTAGCACGTCTCCAGTGACCTCTGTTCTCTGAGATCTTTCGAACCTGGCTCCACGACAGCCCACAAGCTCTCATTTCTTCCTCACACGACCCCCTCCATGTCACCCTCGGACGTCCAACTCGTCGCTTCCCATGGGGATTCCACTCGAGCTACTGGCCTGACACGTGATGTCCTCAGTCGGCCTTCTCAGTGCATGGACAATCCATCTCCATTTCCTCCTGCATATTTGTTGCGTGATAGGTTCTTGGTCGGTTCGTTCCCAGAGTTCCTTGTTGCTTATTCTGACTATTCTGGCCATCTGATCTTCAGTAGCGAGCCAGCCTAAGCAGTTGTTGATGAATGTCTGTAGTTTATTGGAAATGCCTTTCGTGACGCGCCAAGTCTCTGAGCCATACAAGAGCACTGACTTGACTGGGTTGGTGTTGAAAATCCGGATGTTGTTCCGCATGCTGAGTGCAGAAGATCTCCACACTGGTTTCAGGCTAATCAACGCCTGTCTTGCTTTTCCGATTCTGACTTTGACGTCCGCCTGTAGTTGAAACAATGCTTCCTAGATAAGTGAAGGAGGTTACTTCCTTCAAGTTTCTCCCGTTGACGGTGATTGGAGTTTGTTGTTGTTGTCGGTGGTGGTGTTGGTGATTGGGTATCTTCATCACTTCTGTCTTCTCTGTATTCACTTGAAGTCACGTCTTCGCTGCCTTGCATCTTCTGTCAACTTGTTAGTTTTTGCCTGCAGATCTTCAGGTTTATGTGACATCAGGCATAAGTCATCGTCGGCGAAATCCAAGTCTTCTAGGTTCTTTTCCTCAGTCCAGCCAGCGTATCCCCCTCTTCTCGCTCCCCACTGTTTGTCGCACGATCCAGTCCACCACAATAAGGAATATCATGGGGGATAGTAGGCAACCTTGTTTCACTCCTGTCTTCACTTCAAAGGCATCACTGAGCTTCCCATTGTGGTTACTTGGCATGTGGCATCTTCATATAGTTGTTGAATGAGGCGGATAAAGGTTTGCGGTACTCCGTAGTATTGAAGCAGTTTCCAAATTACTTCTCGGTCGACGCTGTCAAAGGCCTTTTCAAAGTCGATGATTGAGGTATAGAGCTGATTGCCATTCTATGCTCTGTTCTATGATGATGCGTAGTGTGGCGTTGCAATTTGGTCTGCACATGATTTGTACTTCCTGAAGCCTGCCTGTTCCGGTCGTAGTTTTGAATCCAGTGCATCCCTTAGCCTCTCCAGGATGATGCGGCTTAATATTTTGCTTGCACTGGGTGGACAGGAGAGTGATTCCGCGCCAGTTCTTGCAAGCACTCAGGTCTCCCTTCTTCGGCAGTTTGACAAGGTATCCCTTCTTCCAATCAACTGGCAGGTACCTTCTCTTCCTTCCACACCTTCTGCAATAGTGGTGTGTGAGCATGTCACCTGTTGTCTCTGCATCTGTTCTCAGTGCTTCTGGCGGTATCCCATCTGGTCCTGCTGCTTCCCCTCATTTCAGTAGCTTTATGGCGTTCAGGACTTCCATTTTCGTTGGAGGATTTATGTTCACTTGTAGTTCAGCGGCTGGACTGCTGGTGGTATTTGTGGACGAAGTGCAGGTGGTGGTCGATTCAAGAGCTTCTTGAAGTGGTCGGCCCATTGTTTCCTTTGTTTCTCTTCTTTTGTAATTAAATTTCCTTCTTCATCTCTTCCCTCACATATAGCAACCTGGTTACTTGATACAATTTTGTCACGTCTCTGTCTCTCTTACCTGCAGCCTGTTCTGCTTCACTTGCCAGTGTGTCGTAGAAGTGTCCTTTGTCTTTGCGTGCACTCTTCTTCACTTATTTGTCCAGTGTAGTGTTTCATACATTGTGCACAGATCCTCGTCTCGTTGCGCATCCTTGCACTGGTTTATCTTCTGCTTCACCATCCTCCTCTCCCTACTCTATCTGCTTCCATACCTCCATCGAGATCCATTCCTTATCTTCTTTCTTCTTCCTTCCTAATACAGTTGTGCAGGTTTCTTTCCACATCTCCCTCAAAGACTTCCAGTGTTCTTCCACACACGTTTCTTCACGGATGTTCCTCGATATCTCCCATTTTGTCTTGATGGCTGCCGTGAAGATTTCCTTTGTAGTTTCGTCCTTCAGTTCGGTTTCCGAGTGTTGTACTTGAATTGAGGTCTATCACCAGCTTCCTTGAAGGCTTTCAACTTGATTTGGAAGGCTCCTTGCACTAGATGGTGGTCTGAACCTACATCTGCTCCTCTTCTTGACCTTGTGTTAAGTAGACTGCGTCTCCATTTTCTTGAGATTGAGATAAAGTCGATTTGATTTTTAGTGTGTCCATCTGGTGAAATCCATGTCGCTTCGTGGACATCCTTGTGCCTGAACACACTACCTCCAGTCACCAAATCGTTGAATGCACAGAATTCTGCAAACAATCCTCCATTCTCATTCATCACCTCACTGAGCGCCTCTCGGCCCATGGTTTGTTTTCTTCCTGTGTTGTCCCCTCCCAGTTTGGCATTCATGTCACCCCATCCATTAGAATTTTGATGTTGCCAACTGGGTGAAGTCTTGTCCAGTGTTGATTGAGTTGTCTGTAGAATCCTCCTTTTTCTCTTGCTCTGCATTATTTGTAGGTGCA